ATGGTATGGACCTCTTACTTTCTCTCCGATGCGAACACATATTATTTTTTAATGTCCCGTTTGAACGTTTTATTTAAAAATACATTTCCTGTGGACAGCCACACGTCACATTAAAAATGTATAATAACCGCAGTACCGAGAAATTACAGTAGTGTTATTTTTAACTAAAAAAAATCTTCAAAATTTATGTTTTCCGGGATGTTTTTTAATGAATATTCGATTTGCTGAAACATGGCCAAGTCTCCCGAAGATGTTAATTGCTTTTGCCTTACAGTTGTATTATCGTACTTACACATTTCATTTCACTGCTAGCTGCTAAACTGTTTACCTTTTACTTTGTCGTGTAATAATTATTAAACGTCGGGGTCCCGACTAAGTTAACCGTGTGCAAGTTTAACGCTCTCAAATCCAATGCAAACCATACAATATCAGAACTGAGCCACCTTCGGCACCCTCTATCAGCTTCATATCAGCCTCTATCGATACACTTAATTATAATTTATTTGTGTGTATAGCGCAAAGTTGAGTCAGTGGAAAAAGTCCTTGGGAACAACAAGAAGAAAAAGTCTGCCGAGTTGAATGTGCGGTGTGATAAAGTTGTTGTCGCCTTGGCACTAAAAATGATGGTGAACTCAGCTAGTGTTATTACACTATTATGTGCGCCTGCTGTAGTAGAGCCAAAATAAAAACTATCTACTAGAAAATATTATAATACAGATTTTTTTATTACTTCATAAAAAAACAAGATTTCAGTTTTGCAATACAATAATATTTTTATAAATGTTATAAAATTAAATAGTAGGCGGCATTGAAAATACAAATTTAACTAATGAAAATACATATTATTATGGTAGATTTACATAAAAAAGGGTTTTTTTTTAATTTAGATGTTCATTTAAAAACTATTTGAAGTGATGGATTGAGGTTAGATTGACCCCTCCAAATTATTGGTCGTTCCTTAGTTCTCTAGTTGATTTCTTATTATTTTTGCCAACAGTTGTGTTTATTATATTGGCAAACAAGATTATCATAAGGGCCCAAACTCCCCCTTCCTCCAAAAAAATTGATGACCTTAGTTGCCATTTTATTTACCGATTTGTCTCAACGATCCTCGGTTCCTTATTGTTTTTCGTATTATGCAAACCGTATAGTTCCCAAGAACAAAATAGGTGATATATAATTTAAACAAATTATAGTATACAATAAAAAATATAATACTAACCATCAAGGTTGTTATTTTATTATAATGCATTTAATATTTGAAGAGGCCCGAGGGGTTTAGTATTTTTATTTTACTACACGTTTCTTTTACATTATTTTTTACAATTGGGTAGTATTAAAGTAGTTATAGATGGGTAGGGTGTAGGAGAATAACCCGTTTTAAGACGATTTTTTTTAAAACTAAATAATACAAATCCAATTTATATTTTCTACTATAAATTATATATATATTTGTCATTATCATATTGCTATTATTTGTAACAAAATTATAGCGAGACAGTTATTAAATATAAAAAAAAGATTATAACAAATTACAGAATAGTATAATATTAGTATACTGTTTGACTTATTATCTTAGTGCAACCTGTTAAAATATACAAGTTGCTTAAATACTATTCAAGGTAAACTCGGTTTCTTTTTTTACAAATTTCGAGTTTATAAAACACATAAATATGTATTATTATAATATTATTATTCCTTTGAAGAAAACGTTTGCAAGATAGATGAATAGACGTAGAGACAAATAATTTAATATTAATTGTTAACAATGTAAATTCTATTTAATATCTAAAAACATAAACCATTGAAATATGACAATTATGAACAAATTAATAAACAATGTTTTATATTTATCCGGTAACTTAATCCCAATAGTCGATATCTATATAGGTGTTTATATTAGTTTAGTCTATCTCATCACTACTGTCTACTCCCAATTATTTGGGGTCGTTCACCTCAGTATTCGACCTTCATACAAAACGGTCACCGACGACCTTCGCTTTATGCTCAAGCAAATCTATTGGGCTAGTGGTGCGCTAGTCTAAAAAGGAAGACCTAATGATTGTGTATATTTAATTATATACACACTCCTCTAGCATCACACAACTTAGCTATTAAAAAAATATTACAAGTAAAAACATTTCAAATAGTACACTGTTTAATTAACAACCAAGTGAAGTTTAAAGTTGTTGTACGTACAACCAAGAAACAGTAAAAAAACTATACAAGCTCCACTTGGAAACAAGACTACATTTTATTTTGAATTCTTACACTACTAACACTAACACTACTTATACTAAAAATACGAAATTACTGCTAAAACAATTGTATACATTTTAAGTTTAAAAATACAAAGTTGATCGAATCGTTTGAAATAACGCCCACCGCTGCGACCATATAGTATAATTTAATATAGTTGATATAATTGAAATAATTTATTAAATTAATATACTTAAATAACGTTTAAAAAGCGGCCCACGTGCTTAGTGCTGACTAGCTTAAGTCCGACTTTGTGTTTGAAAATTTCACCAAAACATTCGGTACCCAAGTTAAAATAAGCGGCTAATGAAAAAATACTTGCTTAGTGGAATCATCTGTATTATTTTGTGGCGCTTCGATAATATTATCATTTACATCTCTTTGATAAAATCAATTAAATAATAATAATAATTGAAATTTAATAAAAGCATCAAAAAGCTGTTGGCCAGCGACCAAGTTTTTGAATTTCTGTTTTGACCCGACGCGACGCCACGGTGCAAATGTTATTTATTATAATTAGAAACGTCGAGTGACAACGAAACTGACAAACAAGTCCCATAATAATAGTGCTAAGTGTAATAGTACGGAATTGGCGTTAAGTATTATTTTTCTCGACTTTAAGACGACAGATTTTGTCTACCATATTATTGTCTGCCACGTGTCCGCTGGTTTCGAATAAATTAAGGTTGGTACACCTCAGCTTAGTCACTCGCTTCATAAATATTTTACGCGCAACACTTAACGCTTACGCGGTCTATTGTGTGTATTAAGTGTATAAGATATATTATGCATTTATTTTCGGACAGTTCCGCGAGTGGGGATATAAATTTTAATTTGCGGTATATTATTAAAACGGTATATATTAACCAGAAACAATTATTGGAAATATTTTTATCTTGGGGCGGAAGTTAACTTCCTTATTTTCAAAAATTACATATATTATTAAATTTATGGGCCCTTAAATCCCTAAACCTAGCCCCGCCAATGGAACACAAAGGCCAGTCTTGCAGTGCGCGACCCTGACACAGCCAGTATCGCGGGAGGTATGTTTTTGAGCTGGCTTGACGGCTTTCTATAGATCGAATTTCAACATTTTGATCCGGCTTAAAATCGCTCTTTTTGTTTTTTTTTCCATATTATTATGTGCTATTAGCCATTTTTCGATTAGCCAAGCCCAAGTTGCTCTACGGTACTGCGCGACGAAAATAAGACGTCATCACTCATCGCGGTGACCGTAGTGTCAACGGCGGCGCAAAGATCCAGAGATCCGTATCGGGCGCCTTATTATTATGTACCAGCGATTGTTGCACACGCGTTCGATCGTCAAACGGATACCATCATTGTTGTTATTGTAAACGGCTGCGGTTGTAAGAAACCATACTATGGCAAACAACAATAAAATAATGTAAAAAAGATACAATAATAATAATAATAATGAAAATAAGAGCCAATATTTGCATACATACTTCACGCAAACAGTTTGGCTTCATAAAAACGGTTCCAGGAACGCTTTTCCACACAGTCGTCGAAGGCCCACAAACGATAACGGTCCGCGCAAGCTTATATAAGTGCCCCCAAGCCACAACGAACAACGGCCGCGCCGAGTCCACAATACAGACCATTCAGAAATGACGTCCGCCGAAAATGTCGCCGTGGTCGGCACGCAAGTTGGAGGACCATCGGCTGACGGCAGTAGTCGTCCGCAGCAGCCGTGCCCGTTGTTGCCGCCGCCAAAACGGCCGTTGTTTGCCGACTTGGAACCGCGGTTCAAGAGACTCGCCTTGGAAAGGTCGGTGACCACTCGCTTATGTTTGCAACACTGCGGTCGCCGATAACGGCCGTTATCAGCCGTTATCACAATTATCTTTTAGCCTTTCTTCCCACAAAAGTGATTCGAATAATTATTCCGCTAATGCCTAATAGACTTGTATTTAGATTTTAATTTCTGTCTGTTGGAGTTGTTTGCTGTCGACTGTTGTGTTTTTGTATTGCTATTCGGTCCGTTCAGTAAATCTGAACAATATAATAATTTTCAATAGTTTTTCTTTTACATTTTTTTTTGTTGTATTGTTTTTGAGTCGGCAGACCGCTCTGTTTAACCGCATCCGGGCCTGGGGTTTCTTCTACCTTGACCTTTCGCCATCAGGCGAATTAATTACTAAAAGTTGCCATCATGTACTACGTGAAATGCACCGAAAAATTCTCACAAGACACGCTGTAGGTATTTGACCGTCACGATGGGCCGGTTAATTTGTCGGTGACGGTTTTTTTTTTTAATCATAATATAATTAATTTTATTAATTGCTGTGTTTAGTCACTCGATAGTAAATAAAGATTGTAGGTTTTAAGAGTGTATATTTGAGTTGAAACGTTGTACCGACATGATAAGATCGGTCGCGCGATACGCCATGCTACAGTCACGAATAATGTGGCCAGCACGGTCGTACCGCGTCAGCAATAATGTAAACAGGCTCAAAGGGTCGATCAAGGCGAAAACTGCGGCTTTTCTTAAATACGTTTGGTAAGAGTCTGGTAACAAGTGTACACTTACATATATATATTTTACAAACATAGTTGTCATCTGTAGACTGTAGTTGATCACCTGGCAATTCTCCTTAGTAACAATAGTTGTATAAATAATAAACCAAACATTATTTCAGAATTATCATTTTAACATAGTCAAAATTTGGCAAAATTAATTTTTTTTTTTCTATGTTAACATTGTTAATAAATATTTTCAGGATGGGGAGTTTCACTTCTTCCATCAAAATAGAAAATGAAGATACCCAAGACAAAAATTTGGATTTCGAACCTAAAATTTCATATGAAAAACTGTTGGATCATTGTTATAAGCATAGTGATCAATGTCTGTCAAAGCTTATTCAAAGAACGTTTACAGAAGTCCCTTACGGTCAGTCAAGTAAAGCTCTATTTAAAATTAACTACTAAGAATCACCTAAATCTCTTGATGCAACATTTTTTTTTTTTGTCCGGTTTATTTCTTTTTTATATAATAGAATATAAACGATATAACATTTTTGTAAATGAAAACAGAATGATTATTATAAAAAATCTAAAATTTTCATATATTTATTAGAAAAAGTACAATTTGTTTTTTATGACCTCATATGTGATCATGTGCATGAAAAGGTTAAAGGTGAATTGTTAAGGTGTAATGTCCTTTGAAATTACTGATTTATTTTTGAATCACTCATTGTCACATTTGTTGTAACAATACATAGTCTGTCAAAATATGCGAACTGATGCAATACATTTTTTATTTCAAATTGATTAATTTTATCCCATTCAGGCTTAAGATTTATTTGTTGTAATGTACTTCTCCCATCTCGGTTTCAAAACATGTCTCAAGTTCAGAGAAGTTAGGCTGATATGTCATTTTGTGTTTATTAGTGTCCTGTTGGGCATTTTGAATCTTGGCATAAAAAAAGTCTTAGGAGCTAAATCTAGTAAGTGAAGGGGGGGGGGATAGTTTTATTAAAAATTGAGGACAAGAACTCATAGAAAAGCACAGATGTGCAGGTGCATATCCTACCATTTCAAATTTGGTCAAGGTCATGCTGATTGTTTTTTTTTTTTACATTAATGGGATTATTTATCATACATTTCATGACATTGCATCGTTTTTGGTAGACAAAAAAAAAATGTTTGAAAACACCAAAAATTAAAATTATGTATTATGATTCCCTAAAACGGATTTTGATTCTTGTAAAACTATTCTCAATTATAATTTTAACAAAAATGCAAAATGCATCATCTTCCCAACCCTAGTTATACCATAACTAATTTTATACACTAATCAGTTATTGCATGTCTGTAATAAATAACAGATATATTAAAACACTAACTTTGTATTTAGAGTCTCATTTATAAAATATAAATTATCAAAAATTAGTAAAATAAAAAATATTTAAGTAGCGTATTTGTTTATCTTATTGTTGTTAATGTTTAGATTCAGAAAACGTTGAGAGTCACGGTATAAGAGTACTTCAGTGGAATGCACTGTCCCAAGGTTTGTAGTCTATTTTGATAGTACCTAGTTGAAGAACAAAAAACACATTGATATTAATTGTTTATGATGTATTTAGCATTAGGCCAAAACAACGACAAATTCGATCTCTGTCCACCGGAAGCGTTGGAATGGAAACGCCGACGTTGTCATCTGCTAGAGGAGATTCTGCGACACAGTCCCGATGTCATTTGCTTACAGGTCTGTAAAACTGTACAAATATGTTTTGAGCTAAGTATTATTAACTTAAAATATTTACTGTTTAGGAAGTTGATCATTTTGATTTCCTTAGCAGAGCCTTAGCTACTCAGTCGTATAGTGGCGTGTTTGTACCAAAACCGGACTCGCCTTGCATGTATATAAATGACAACAACGGACCGGACGGATGTGCAATATTCTACAGAAATGATAAGTTTGAGCTCTTGGAAAAACACGAAAAGGTCTTGCAAGTATGGAAGGTGCATAGTAATCAGGTAAATATAGCTAAAATTATTGCTCTATATATTGAAATCACTTTCAATTAAACAATTTGAGGCATAACTATAGGTGGTGAATAATTAAATATAAACTATTTTATTGACAATAAAGTATTTGGTTATAATTGTGTAACATGATGTAATTTGAAAAAAGCAACTTTAAATGTATTATTAAAAAAAAATGGTAACAGTACATATTTTATAAACTTTACGGGTTGAGTATATTTAGACTGGTCGATTGGAGAATGGAAATATTATAAAAAAATCTACAAAATACTTATGTCTTTTATTAAAAATGATCACCTTATATCCATAAAAAATATCACAATAAGTAAGTCACAGGCAATAACATTAAATTTTCTAAGAATTATTTGGACTAAAGATAATTTTTTAACCACCGAATTTATTTCTTTATGTAGGAGTCTATAAATTAGAAATTGTATCTGAAGGGTACTTTATAAGTACAAAACAAAAAGTTTACTCTTTCCCTTTAACATTAGATTAACACCTTAAAAATTACACAATTTACATCTTGAAATTAGGGCACTAAAACTTAAAAATAAATAAATAAATTTAAAACTTGTGTGGGCTTATAAAATATGTACCACTTCCATTTAAAAAAAAAAATTTAATTCTGTAAAGATGTTTTTTTTGTAGAAAACTTTAAAAATCTAATAATAGTTTTGTGCCAAAGTTTTTATTTGAAAGTGATTTTATTACTTTTCACTAAAATAATTCTAAATACCTACTTATAACCTGTCACTAATATTCTCTGTTCTCACCATGCCCGATCTCACTAGCTTTTTTCCATAAATAAATCATAAAAATATCAAAATCATATATGTGTTTAGATACGGTTTGACCATTTTTGTATGAGCTCTTTTTAATAAAATAATAAATAATGATTTATTAATAGAAAACAGCAGTTCTCTAGTTTTATCTAGTTTTACTCGCTAATATAAAAAAACTTGTGTAAAAATATTCTCTATTTGTTCTCACTCAGGTGTTGTTGTTAGTGGTGCTAAAAGAAAAGTGTTCGGGAAATGAGATTTGTGTGTCGACCACTCATCTGAAGGCTCGTAAAGGGGCTTTGTTGGCGTCTATACGAAATGAACAAGGCAAAGATATTTTACAATTTGTCCACGGCTATGCTGGCGACCGTCCAACCATTGTTTGTGGCGACTTCAACGCCGAACCCACAGAACCAGTATACAAGACAATGTGTGGCTGCTGTGATTTCCCGTTAGACAGTGCGTACAAGATAAACGGCTTGGAACCACCTTACACGTCGTGGAAAATCAGGGAAAGTGAAGGAGAGGTTATGCATACTATCGACTACATGTTTTATACTAAAGGGAAATTAACTGTCAGCAACATCCTGAACATGCCGAGCGGGTCAGACATCGGCCTGAATAGAGTTCCCTCTTTTTCCTATCCTTCCGATCACTTTTCTCTGGTCGCCGATTTTCGCTTTAACAAAAAATAACAACTACGAGTAAATAATCATGTTTTTAATATAGTATGATATATTTTATTTAATTATTTATTTATTTATATATATGTATAGACACAATTTTTGTTGAAATAGAAAAAATAGTTATTATTAATAGTTTTCTATTTACAAATCGTTTCCGGATATTATTTATTTATTATATATTTATTATTTTTTGAAATTTCGGCACATAACTTGGTGATAATAATGACCACTTTACATTAGATAGATCTTTATGTGATTATCCTTAAGTATTTTGAGCACCATTTCCGTGGTGTTATGATGTATGTTATTCTTAATTTATTATTTTACAACAAATATATATATTTATATAAATTCAATACATTACATTCACAACGTGGATAATTTTAAACTCTGATCAACATTTACCATATTTTGCAATGTTTTAACTATACGTCTGTTGTATGAATTATTTATTTTTACGTGAACAATGTTAATGTTGGTGATCATAACAAATTACTCTTAGAACCAATCGACCGTATCGTTAATTACTGTATAAAGGTCATTATTTATTTTTATTTATTATGTTTATTTTTATGACGTATTGTGTAATAAAAATAGTATACAATTTGTTGAAATGCGTGTTTGTCGTTTCCACAACTCTTACACAATTGTTATAATACTTCAGCCAATGGTATACATGTCACTCGCTAACTCCCCATCGTCGCTTATTGGATTTCCTCGACATTTGTTTTAACTCATACTCCATTTATTGGTTGTTTAAAATTTAGGACTTTGTTGTTGCGAGTTTTGATTGATACGATTGTTGATCCAGTCGTCTGTGTAGAATTTAGGGTCCGATATGTTCAAGGCAGTTCTCTTGTACAAATAATAGTGCAAGCAAGAAACTGAAGAAAAAAAAAAGAGAACATTATTTGGTTTTAATTTAAGTAACACTGACTTATATACGTACTGAATTTATGTAGTACGAAAAATATGTACAGTCCGTCGGGCCAAAAGAAGTATACTTGTCCTTTAAAACGGTTTGTCAAAGTCCACGCTTGTACGAATAACGTGAGAATGAAATAAACCACTCCGGTAATAATTGTTGATCGAAACTCGTTGAACAGTAATACAATAAAACCGGCCTAAAAGTTCAAAACTCTTGTGTTGTCAAACAATGATTACAATAATTTTGATCTTAAACCAAAGAAAAAATATGTTACTTGGAATATGTTTGTTTGGAAGAAAGTTATAAGGAGCACGGCGAATGCGACCAACTGACCAATGTCTTGAAGTCTGCAATGTTACAAAATATGAGTAAATGCATGGAGTTCAACAAATTCCAGTAAACCCTTTTAAACCTATTTGCATAAAAACCTAGTCTTGATTTTTAATCCAAACGATTGTCAAGTCCACCTACTTATCATATATGTTGTGTTTACTAAAAAATTCTACCCCTTTTAACGGTAATCTTAACAATCCGTTGAGCTCTTATTAAAAATTAAAACGTTTACAATAAAATGTATTATACATTTAATATGTATTATTATTTATAAATTTAATATGTATTATTATTTATGTATTTAATATATTGTTAATGTACAGTGTTACGTTTACAGCTTGTATGTAAACTTTAAATTTCTGTTAAAATTACAAAAAAAGTAAACATAATAGTTTGATTTAAAAAAAAATGCTTAAATTTTCCGATTAAGATTCTAACTATTACACATCTAAATTAAAAAAATTTAGTTAATAAATGTTGATCAATTATTTACTCCATTTTCAAAGGGATGATATAGATTTACCTATGCATTTTTTATACTTACATGAAAAGCAAAATGGATATTCCAGTGTTGCCGAGAAACCGATGGATGAACGTGTTGAACAACAGGTCCACTGCCAGCAACACAAGCTGTAAAACCAACACCACAGTGTACCTGAACTTGGACAGTTCCATATTAATAATTTTCTCCTATTTTGTAGATAGGTGTTGTATATACCTATTCGACATAGTCTCTCGTTTGTGTTTTGCCAATAGACTGACCGGCAGTGTCCATGGCAACGTATGTAAACGGAACTCGTTCCGTTCGGTGAACATCAAATATGCTGTATTTTAATGTGTGGTACCCGAGTATAATAATTAAAATTGAACGCCATATGACTCCACCATAACACATACATATTCTGTTCAATGACCGTTTTGAACAAAGAACAAGGTGTACATATTATTTAGGCTTTACAGCCAATGTAGGGCTGATAATCATTCAGTGCAGTGGGGTCGATACAGTCACACAGGTTATGGACCTAACGTCTAAAAACTTTGAAGATGAGCGTGTTGGTCGAATTTTTTATATTTTTGATGAACACATTAAACGATAAGACGTCCGACGGGTTCCACGTAACATTACCAAATATTTGAAATTATTAAATAACATGCACGAATGTAATAATAATCCACAATAGAACTATTACCAGAACGATCAATTTGAAAATTATAAACAAACGCTGAGACCAGAAATGAATCAAGTTGAACGTATGAAAGCTAACTTAAATTGTAATGATAATAAAATCACGGTCGAATGCCATTAGACACAAAAAGTGATCTAGGAAAAAGTATGTACTACAACTGTATGAATTTCGATCAGCTCATAATAAAAGTGCTGTAAATCCCAGAAACTTGTACCTACACCGTTTGACAGCTGTTAATGTCCTCGAGGTTTGTTTGCGAGCAAAATAAGCATATTACAATATATATAATATGATATATAAACAATGCGTTAAGCAGAAGTTATATCGGATTGCCGATTGACGTTCAAGTTTAACAAGTAACGAGGAAATCTCACCGTTTTAAGTTTAAAACACCTAAGCTTTTGTACAGTCTAAACGCAGAGTGGGCGTTTACGCTTTGCGATGCGGATCTCTTTTTTCCTGCTGATAATATAAACTGATCTTATAGTGATAGCAAGTTTAAAGGTCATTATGACATGAGCTCATGAATTTTAATGCCCCTCGTATTAAACCTTTTCTGGTTAATATAATATAATCAAATAATTAACTTAATTATTATTATCTAGAAAAACCAGACTCAGTCTGTTGTATGCGCTGACATTGCTGCCGAAAAATACCTATACGCTTTAGAGGATTATTTTGGTGGTTAAGGGTTTATTTAAATATTGAATTATTTTATAACTTTATTGTATTTAATAACTCTTGAAAAAGCCTAAAGAATTTTCGAAATTTACATTTAAAGACTCTAAAATTCAGTAATTTTACCGATAAAATCATGTTAAAATTCTTCGAATAAGAGCTTAAGGGGAAAAAATTTAAGTATAGAATAAAAGCCTGCACAATGTTGTCGGGGCGGGCACAATGAGGTCGAAGACCTTTAGCACTTACTATAACTATTAACTAAAAATGAGGAAATCATTTGCAACTAATCTCTGACATAAAACTGTAGATGGTAAAAACAATTTTAAAAAAACTTAACACATTTTTTAGACAATAATAATAAGTGTATTTATAATTATTTTATTTGATTTTACATTAAAAGTGTGACTCCAGATTTGTATTTTATTGGCACACGTTAGATTTACCACGTTAGTATAATTTTCAAAACTACTAAAACTAATTTTTGTGTGAATAGGCACATCTCTTGTCTATAAAATTATATATGTTTTATAGTTTTTACTATCTACAGTAAGGTATTTTTATCACTTTCAGATTTAATATTCCTGAAGATTTGTGACCTACCATTATGGCCCAATCCCACTGTGCTGACTTTTTCATAACTACTAAAAATTTAATTTCTGTGAACCAAAAAAGTATAACTAACTTCTTCTACTACATTTAACAGAACAAAATAAATAAAAAAATTGTAATGTATTAATGTATGGATAATGTTCATGAGTTTTCTACAATATCTCTTTCGAAAATTAATAAATATTCTAAAACAAACGCAGATAGAAACAAAAAAGGTCTGGCTTATAAATATTGTTCAATACTCAACGCTTGCTTTTTAACGAAAAACTCGTACTCTTTTTTCTCGTCACATCAGTTATATAAGATTTTAATTTTAGCTTTAAATTGTGATTTTGTGAAAATTTGCCTCTTAATAAATACTTATAAGGTCTTATAAGCCTTTTTTTTGTGACTAAAATGTTAACTGCAAAACGAGCACAATAAAGGATTAATCTGTAAATTAATTATTAAACAACCAAAACCATAATCTAAGTCTAATTCTTACTATTTTTACTCAAAATCCGTTCCCGATAAATAAATGAAAAATGCAAAAATAGTATTTTGTGCAATATTAAGCGAATCCTCTAAAACGCTTTTGGAACTGCACCAAAATTAGTCATAAGCTTCCTGTTCTTTTTATGAATGAGTAATAATTGTATTAAAAGTATATAAATATATATATTATACTGTTCGTGTAATCTCATGACACAAAAATAAATTATATGTCAAAAAATCGTTGAAAATGTCAAGCTTACACAAAAAAAAATGGAACGTATATGATGCAATCAATTGATACCATCTCTATATTGTTATAGTTAATATTAAAATTACAGCAAGATACGCATAAAAACGGTGTTTTTAGGGAAATATTGATATATTTTAGCTTAGATGCCAAGCTGAGCTGTATGTATCATTTTTAAAATAAAAATAATTATTGCAAAATTGGCCTTATCGAGTTAATATTCTACTAGCGTTCGGGCCTTGGATCAAATTTTAAGAACATTAAAGGCTTTTTTTTTAAAATTTGACTTTACCGGTAACACCAATGTCGAATTTTGATCCTTCCCGGAATATATAATGTTTATTCCAAAGACTTTGGAACCGCTACCGTTTTATACACAATAGATAGACAAACAGGCTGGTGACACGTACTACGTACAAAGATTTTATTAGGTATACAGGGATATTAAGTTCAGATAGCTTAGCAGGCATTGGTTTTACAACGGGTTTTATCCTGATAAATATTATGTACGATTATTGGTTTTGAAAATAAAACATGATGTCTTATAAACGATTTTATTTGCATGTGTATTAGTACCTACAGGCACCAGTTGCCCGAAGGGAAAATTTTGGCGGGAAACAAATACACGGATGTTGACCGATTGCGAGTATGACAATCGTAAGCAAAGGGACCGTCGTGAGACGAAGTGCCGGCACATTGACCCAAAGACGAGGCTGCGAATACGGCGCTTACCGAGGAGGCTCGGCCGGGAGGGTGTGGTCTATTGATTTTCCGGCTGTGCGCGAAAACTTTGGCCAGCTGACAGACAGCACGAGAATATATTGTCAAACGTATTCGCACGGTCCACGCCACAAACAAACCGTTCGCGGTGTTTTTCCATTTTATACGATTCGGTTCCACAATGAACTTGTCATACTTCATACATTTCGCTTTGCACCTGGCCAGCGGCGTTTTCGCATTGAACAGTAAGTATACATTGCGTAGCTAGTACTGTAATCCTCGCAGTAAATAATATGTACACGTTAGTTGGCTGCTCGACATAACTACCCACACCGCTTGTGTACCGAAATTTACATTACCCAAACTTACTTGCATGAAAACTGCACTGTGACGCGATTGTTATTAGATTTTGGACGCAAGAACTGAAGATTAGATTGATAAGGAAAAACGATAAATTCGATTATAAATCAAATATTTTCACCGATTGATATTTACTATTGTGATGCTAGTTTTTTTGCAATGTGAATAGACCAGTTACAAATAGTCCCAAATAGACCAGTTACATAATCAGTTATTTTTTTTACTTATAAAGTTAATGTAATAGATACGTTACCTGTAAAGTAAAAAGTACCTATCAACATTTAGTTGGGCTCTAAAAAAATGAGTTAACATTTTGATGTTTTATATTATTGCAAAATAAAATAAATAAACAGAAATGTTAAAAAAAAAAATTACTATTTTAGTATACAGTAAATTGTTCTACGGTTTTTACTTACATTTTGACATGATACACAGCTATGTTTTTATTTTATAGATTCTGATGTATTTTTCGATAACAATCCACATAAAAAACATTTGTTTGATGATCTCTTGAGCAATTACAACCGGCTGATTAGGCCTGTTCACAATCATTCGGAAAATTTAACCGTTTGGGTCGGCTTGAAACTCACTCAACTAACGGAAATGGTAAGGAAACTGCTAAATAATTTTATTTTATAAGAATTTTGAATTATATACTCATATTGCTTATAGAATCTCAAAAGTCAAGTAATGACAACAAGCGTTTGGTTGATACAAAAATGGTTTGACTGCAATCTGAAATGGAACCCCGACGATTACGGTGGACTGGAAGTGCTTTACGTGCCATCAGATCACATTTGGTTACCGGATATCGTTATGTTCAACAAGTAAACCATTTTGATTGTTGGATTTCTCAAGGGAAAAAGCGTATTACAACTGCACGTTGAAATCCAGCCACCCAAAAATTCCTTGTATCTGATTTTTGGACCAAAATATAGTTCACAACAAACTTCTTTTACTTCTCGTTTTAAGTGTTTCCCAAAATAGCTTAATCCAATGTCTTCTCCAACAAAGTGATTTAAACCATTTGGTTAAATTTCTTTGCTTCATTTGTCCTACATACATTATTTCATGTTATCTATCTAGGTACTGATTGATAACCTTCGTTTTCGTTTTGTTTTAGTGCCGATGGAAATTACGAAGTGACTCTCATGACCAAAGCGGTTCTCAAGTATACCGGTGAAGTTCTGTGGACGCCGCCGGCCATTTACAAGTCGTACTGCGAAATCAACGTACTTTACTTCCCGTTTGACGAGCAAAACTGTTACATGATGTTTGGCTCTTGGACATACAACGGCGTTCAGGTAAAATCTGGCTAGCCGAGTCGAAAGTGATGCTGAGGTCTAATTAACTTTTGTTTTTACCGGTTATCGTTATTCAGGTGGACCTCAGGCACATCGACCAAACGCCCGGCAGCAACCGAGTAGACGTTGGAATCGATCTCAGTGAGTTTTACTTGTCCGTCGAATGGGACGTACTTGAAGTTCCGGCCTACAGGAACGAAGAATACTATCCTTGTTGTACGGAACCGTACTCGGGTAAGTTCTTGTAATATATTGGTATGGCTCGTATTTGAACTTTTCGGTATTTTCTTGTTACTGGCACCCCCCCCCCCCCTAATTCTTGTACCGGTTTATGTTGTGGAAATATTGTACTTAGTCAATAACATAGATTTAATATTTTTCTTTTTTTTTCCGGTATCATTTTGTATTGTTGTAGCAGAAATGTTTGTTTAATAAATACTGAGAATATTTTCTACGTTTTCAGATATTACTTTCAACATAAAGATGAGGCGAAAAACGTTGTTCTACACTGTAAATCTGATTATTCCATGTGTCGGCCTGACTTTCATGACGGTTTTGGTGTTCTACTTGCCGTCCGATTCCGGTGAAAAGGTAACTGATATCAACCTGGCTTTCTTTGCCATCGATTGTCATGCCTCCACGTCGTGTCTTACAATATACCTACTAATCTAATTTTTCTGAAAAAAACGACAGGTAACTCTTTGCAGTAATATTCTCGTGTCGCTAACCGTGTTTTTCTTGCTTTTGGCTGAGATTATCCCTCCGACGTCGCTGGCAGTGCCTCTACTCGGTAAATATCTGCTCTTCACTATGGTGTTGGTGTCCATGTCCATAGGCATGACCGTGGTGGTTTTGAACATTCACTTCCGGTAAGTTTTCGCACAATCCAACACTGTGCTGACAAGACAACAATATAAGACTATTCAGTAAAATAATCATTAACTTTATTTGGGTTTCTTAAGGTCGCCTTCGACGCACACACTTACCCCGTGGGTGAGAACCGTGTTCCTCCACATTATGCCACAAATACTGATGATGCGCCGACCGCCTTATTCGCTGATGACCAACGACGGATACCAGAGTTCACCGGGATATTTCAACGAGTTGGATTACAGGTGCGTTTCTGTCATTAAAAAGTCATTTTTTTACTGATGATAATAATCCTTATTCCATGAGTTTTCCTTCTAAGAACTGTCAACAATCATGAGTCTTGGTATCCTGTCATACACTTTTTCCAAGTCTATAAAACCATACTAAAATTTTTTTTGTCCTTTATTATTTGCTTCGCACAAAATATTAGCTCAGTTGACCTTACCGACATAAATCTAAAATTATTTTTTGATACTCGTGTTTTACTCCTTGGCCATTACTCTACAATATTGTTTCCCTAAATTTCATTGAGTAACACATTCATTTTTCAACTCTATAATTTCCTCATTATTGTACTCCCCTTTTATTTTTTTAAATATCTACATGTACAATTTGTTTTCCTGTAGAGATAGCATTAGCGACAGCGGTGGCACTGATCAGAAATCACCTTCATCGTTGACCCAGAGACATTGGTCGTTCAAAAGGATCCAATCGGTCCAACCGCACGTTTATCGTAAGTGTTAAAAAAAACTCCTAATAGTAAATGACATGTTGTTATAAAATAAGTATTCGATGAACGTTAAAAATAAAACGTCAAAATAAACGAGGTCACGGTCAGGTGTAAAAATGGCTTGGAAATAAATATTATAGTCTATAATAATATTTTATTGAATCAGTTGCACGTGGCAGAATCACTTTTTTAATATCAAATGCGTAATTAATTCCCTATTTTAGTTTGACTTCATTTGAAAAAATTCAAAACCTAATGTGATAATAATATCCTCAGTGTATTCAACAGTTGTATTTTGTTGTTTCAGCGGATAACGTCCTACCGAAAACTATGTCGCCAGATTTGCTCAAGGCTTTGCAAGGAGTCTGTTATATTGCTCAACATATTAAAGACGCAGACAAAGACAAAGAAGTATGCGGATGTCGTGTTAACCTAATAATATATTATAGCTAACATGCATATAAGTGCTAGTTAAACAAATGCGTAGAATAAGAATATTAATTGTAATACTATTACCATTCTAATAATTTCTATGTCGCAAAAAAATTACGACTACCAGTCACAATCGAGCACTCATTCCAATAGAATATACCTAATAGTTTCCGCGATTAGTAATGTGTTTCTATGGCGGTTTTTGGGGGATAACGTCGACTTGTTGTTACTTTCAGTTAAATTAAGAGTGTTCACTAAGGTTTTTATAAACCTCAGTAATAGGCAAAGCATTCGCAGTATCAAAATACAAAATATCATAATAATTTTACAGGTTCTTATGAAGACATTATTTTTTTAATTTCCAGACAAACGAGCGTTGTTTTCATATTCGTTGGCACGATTTAAACAGTATTACATTCAGTGGGAATACTAGACATATTTACTTGCAGCGATTTTGTCTCGGTCAAATTTTCATAATTAGGATTTGCTGAAAATGACCTTTTGCGCTTATACCGATACCACAAGTCAATTGTGACGGCTGAGTAGACATGTAAAAAGAATAGGATAGATGTGATTAATTACAGACCATGTTTCCTAATATTTTTGAAATTTATGATTAATAAGTGAACAATTTGTTTTTTTTTTTTTTGTTAACTCATTTCTGGTTTTAAATTATTGCCCACAAATAAGCGCAAAAACCGCAAACGACCACATTGATAATTTTCATATTCAGTGCTCTACAATTTATTATTTCTACATATTTTTTGATAATTTCTTCTATAGTCATAAATAGATAATAAATTACTTTGTTTAATAAACAGTCATCATTAATCTTTAATCTGATTACAATTTGGCCAACACAGCAGTACTTATGTTTGCACTAGTGATTGTATTTTTTTAAATTATTTTTTATACACAGGTCATTGAAGATTGGAAGTACGTTTCCATGGTGTTCGACCGGTTCTTTCTGTGGGTGTTCACGCTGGCTTGTATCGTGGGCACGTGTGCTATTATATTCCAAGCGCCTTCTCTGTACGATCAACGAGCACCCATCGATTTCCAACTGTCTTCCATCCCCAGACGCAGAAGCAACCTGGCTCTTCCTCACGAAATCGATTTCTACGAACGCACCTACGGGTCTGGTTGAACGCTTTTAGTATATTATAGTGAATTGACTTGGCTGAATTTTGTTTTGTTCTAAAACCTTGCGAGGGTATAGTGTATACGGATAATGGAAACAAAAATTGCATAATTATAAACTTGAGGGGCAACGACCGGACATGTCTATTTTGATCACAAATAAGTTTTGGTGAAACAAACAGTAAAATTACTATTACTTACAAAGATAATACAAAACGCGTTTTCCCACCAATGGTAGTAAATGAGAAAAATCATTTTATTTTAATCGTCCCGAACAATTTAAAAAATGGACATGGCTGTTGCCTCCAAGTCTTCAATTAATGAACAGCATACAACAATTTGTACATACCTGCTAAGCACTAGCATGATATTATGAAACTAATTATTATTTCAATATAAATTTTTAAAAAATAATACATTGTAAAGATCAGTATACTGACATTTCATGCTGGACATAAGTCAAATAAGACAAATTCCTATGAATCATATATTACTTTATTGATTACAAGATTATAATATGCAAGACTAATGCACAAAATATAATTTAATTAAAAAACAACCAACGGCATCTGAATAATTTCTTCTCGCTTAAAAAATAAATATAATTAACAAACATTAATTTTTCATCGTTATAAAAAAACAAACGTTTTGTTGTACCTACTGTAATTAGTATATAAATATCTAATTGAGAGCTTTACTATTTATTTTTAGCGACAATTGTTTAATTTAAAAATATTATGCTGGATAATTTGTTTGTGGTTCTTTTTCGAGTATTAAAATTCTGAGTACGTTTTCTCTTATCATCATTCATCAGTTCGCCTTTTGGTGTACGTTATACTTTAATATTGCATATGGATAAGTGCATAAATAGTTGTGTACGCATCAAACTCTATGATGAAAAACTCACGTCTGAACACAATATTTGCGAATAACGACGATAAAAAATACATAAAAAGTCTAACCGATTGCCTGGAAATAACGCATACTATACCAGATAAACCAGTTGTTACATACATAGGCGAGCGTAGGTAGAATTGTTTTTTATAATCTGGCAAGTCTCTCCTGATGACTTTACAACTGCAACAATAATAATAATAATAATATAGTTGACCTAAAAACAAAACAACTTGTTCCAAATGGTTTACTTGGATGTTAAACATACCCATTTCGTCTCCTTTGCGCCAAACGTGTCGTTTGCATAGTGTCGGTGTTTTATTAAATATTTTCTATTAAACTTATCCAAAGGAATCAAATTCAATATACTTAACATAGCAACGCAATTATTATTACACAACACGTGCATATTAATAATCTTGAAATTCATTGTCGTTCTCAAAATAATAACAATAATAATAACCGTTCTTACGGCCTCCGCTTAAGTGCACGATTATTAAAACGAACGCGGTAATAATTATAAGAGTAAGCGTTCAAGGTCACGTGGTAGGTTGTACACAATATTATAATTTATAGTAGTTTTTAGCACAAGCTTTTGAGGCGTTCTATTATACTTGCGTTTAAATATAATCACGATAAACCAAACGACATTGATCTGTAACATTTTTTTTATTTGAAAAAAGTATACTTCTGTTACAGTTCATAAAAAAAAATGTTGTAATATTTTTCGTAGAGTTGGGACGCGTTTAAAAGTAAAGCGGTTAAGTGAAATATTAGAACAAGACCTTAGAAATAAAATTAAGTGTAAAGAGAAGCTAAATGTAATCAAAAGCGGGCGAATTATCAAGAATTATATTGATATTTGATTTCAACACCAATTACAAAAATAAAAAAGTATTGAATTGCAAACACACACCCCTCCTCTTCAGAATCAAGAAAATCGCTAAAAATTGTCATACTTATAGTATTAAAATACGACACGCCAGAGTATACTCTTATAATACTTTATTTTTGTTTTTCAGTTATTTTATTTTTTAAAAGCCCGTTGTATACGTTTTGTATTGAGGAAACCAAAAAAAAAACCTTTTAAGATAATTGCTGTACGCCAGTGTACTGTCGAGTGTCGTTAAAGCGATTTTTATTCATACTTAATGTTTGTATTATTTATTATTATTTTAAGAAAAATAGTTGGAAATATTCCCGTAATATATTAACAATTTTTTTGAAAAATGCATAATCTCAGGCCAACATTTTTTTTTTAATGTTAAAAACGGGTTTGACAGTAATTGTCGAACACATGTCTTTAGAAATGTTGATACGATTACATAGACAACATAATTTATATAATGGACCTTGTGGCCATATGCTCTTTTGGTAATTCGATATAATATATGCCTACCCTTTTTTACTATATTATATTGTACTATGTAATATTTATGTTAGTGATCATTTGGCGAGTAGATGTATTCTGATGAAATAAAAAATATAAACTTAATGACACGACATAAAACGCATGTGTGTGTTTTAATTGGAGTTTTTTTAATAAACGGTTGTGTTGAGCCGTGTACAACCGTTTATTAAAAAAAAAATGTCTACAAGAAAATAACTCGTACGAAGTGTGCCAATGCCGAACAATTCGGCAACGGATGTTCTTAACGTCATAGAACAGAACTTAAAAAAAAATTCATATTATACTGTGTTGTTACATTTGTACCAAAATCCAAGCCCAACAAAAGCTACAACTTTTGCGTTACTTCCATAACACGAGTTACTATTTTTTTATAATTTTTAAGAAACTTAATTATCTATAATAATTATATTATAGATCCTATCAAGTTACTTGATAACATACGAGAACGATAGAAGCCAATATTGGAAATAGGTGATATTTTTGATAAAATTGAGTTAAGTATATAATCTGTATTAAAGAGTTTTGTATGAAGACATTTTAATATAATCGGTTATCACAATCTACAAACTACACGATAATTAAACTAATCAGTGGTTTTCCAATATCTCCATACAAATTGTCATATTATTATAACATATAATAGGAGATAATGAATAATAAGACACCTAATATAAGAGATTATAAAAGATGAACATAAAATTGTATTAACAAAAATGTAAAACAAAGATTAATATAAAAGCTTTAAAGGTTCTTTTGGAATCTTTTGTTAATAATATTGTGTTTTTCACATTTAAATTTAGTTAAGAAAAATATCTTCTGTTAGGATATATTTTGTATGAGCACTATTTGAATAATATATTATTAAATAAAAAAAAATAATACATTAATCGAATAAAACAAAAATTGTTTCTATTCATTTAAACGTTATTATATTTGTTATAATTGTTGTTCATTTTTTAATTAAATTTTACTCACATCTGTCTGTGTGTAATTTTAACATAACGATTAGTGGAAATCAAGTAACACGTCTAACATTGCAATGAAGTGCAAACAATACCTAATATACAGTCGAGGCCAACCAACTTCTATTTTATTTACTCGGAGCATCTTAAATAATAGACATTTTAATTTTTAAAGTAGTTCTTTTTGGTTAAACACAAATAACTAAGACCGCATACAATAAAGTATTAAGTCGTTTTTATTAAATTGCATATTTTATATATTACCTAAACGAACAGTTAGCAAAATATACACTGTAACTCTACCCAGATAAATAATAATTATGTGCCTGTACAATAAAGTATGTTTGTGATTTGTTTGAAATACAACATTGTTGACTTAATAAACTTAGCTTTTCTCCTCTTGTGATTTAATAAAAACAATAAAAAAAGTCAACAATTTTTTTGTTATTGCTGTTTGCATAGTTCAATTCCTGCGCCACGGTTTTTACAGTATAGATTATAATATATTATAATTTGTTGTTTTTTTTTATTATTCTAAGCTATTATTGTCGTAACGAGACAAAAAGAAAAAACAGTCACGAGAAAAAAATTACGTTTGTACGTTATCCAGTTGTTAATAATAATAAATTTAACAATGTGAGGAACGTTTTTCCCGTTATTGTTTAACGTTTAACTACTTTTACATACACAACATAATTGAGATTGTGAGCTTACCCGGGCTGTATCTACTGTACAAATAATTATATACCGCAATTCCTATTTCTACTTGTATACTAATATTTTTTGTATAAGCGACTAAAGTTTAAGATATTTTTTTTTTACGGTTGAATGGGGAAAAATATAAACAAACAACCCTTTACCTAATATAATATACTATTGTGTATTAAGAATATTATGTTGTTTACTTGTTTTATTTGAAAAATAAATTTAATATGTGCCATAATCTATACATTATTAGATAAATTAATAGTTATTATTAAAATTGACATTTTAATTGTTACTTAGAAACATAATCAAATCTTATTAATGGCATGTAATCCATATCGTTACAACCAAATAAATAAATAAAACGGCCAACAATGACAAAGCGTTTCTTTTCTTACTAGCTTGTAAGTTCATTCCGGAACCAATGCACAATGATGGACTTAACTCTGTTTATTGTTGTGGTGTGTGACCAATATATTATCCAAACAGTTACAATGTGTGTTAAAAGGTCAAATTAATTGAAATTAGACCGTGCAAATAAATATTAACAAAACGAACTCGGTTTTTTTAACTTTTACAAAACTACTAAACAACTCTTAGGTAAAGACGGACTTATGTATCAACTCTGTAATAACAAAATCTAATTGAGGACAATTTTTCTCGAGAATATTTTTAGAGCCTAAGCTAATGCGAGGTAAAATTCGATTGATTTGTTAATATCTACTTTTACCCGGGATCAAATTTAACAGTTGACCTTCACAAAAGTTATACTTACAACTTAAATTTTACAACTCTAATATGTATATTAAATACTTTTGTAAATTTTAGCTTTTATTTATTTGTTTATTGTTAAATGATATTTAAAATTGAAACATTTATATAAAAGTTATTAAAATATAATTGTTTTGTTTAACTTTTTGAAAAATTCCTGTAACAACTGTTTCGAGATCGGATTTTAACTCAACCGAGCTAATTTAAAATTGTAATTCTGCTATAACTTATTAAATTAAAATAATAATATTTCCTGTAAATTAACTTGACGAAGTTAATATCAGGCTCGTAGGTCAATAGCACGGTAAGTTTGGTTAACGTTAACCAGACGTTAGAAACCATGATTATTATTAAAGAAATGTCTGCCAACGAATACAAATCGTTCATGACAAACTTAACCAACAGCTTAGATATCCCAAACAGTACATTTATCTTCAAACAGTCGCTCTTAGTGTTAAAATTGATGATGAAAATATGATGAAATTGGTGTAGAGATTAACTAAGGTGTCACCGTCCCGTCGGTGCACTTTCTTATCGACGTCAACGAAAACAATAATTCTGTGCCGTTTACTTATTTTGTCACTTCAAAGTATACAGACTGTAAATAAATGACTCCAGTAAAAAAAAAACAACTAAATAGATAACATAATTTACTATACTATGTTTATTGTTTATACAAGGCGTTTCGTTTTGTCGCTAATACAATCTATTTGTACATACAAATATACAATTAAATACAATAAAAATCTATTCTGTGTGAGCTTGGTGTTCGTAATATACAAGATAACATTATATCCATATATTATTTAATATATACATCGAACATTAAATATACTCAACTTAACTAATTTACTTTTAAAGCTTAATAGTTAATAGTCAAAAACAATTTCCATTTCAAATCAGCATAATTGTATTCTTATTAAGTTAATATATTAGCTTTTTCTTTACCCGATTTCCCTTTTAATCATTAACTCGTTATTTAATTAATACTATTTCATTAAAGTTAATATAAAGTATTAAGCAAAAACCCATAAGCTGTTTTAATAAGTTCTCAACTTTACATTAAAACCAAAAAAAAATATATTATCTTTAACACTGAGAAACTGCAACAAACCTTGAAATCTTAGATGTAAACATAATGCATATCATATTATTTTAATACTAACAAATTCGACTTGTCAGATAAAATATAATTTTTCACTAGACTATCTTAAAAAAATTAGTTTCATCCAAAAAAAAAGTCTACAGATAAAACAAGTAGGCAAAATTATATTGTTTACATTTCATTATAAACCACGCAGAAAAATTTCGACGAATCGCTTTTTTTTTATTTTTGAAATTAATTATAAATAAGTAGTTTAAACCGTTTTTGCTTACTTACGGTTATTTCCACAATCACTTTGTTTGATTAAAATATTGGTATTATTTACGAAGTAAGTATACTTTTATAGAGTACAAATTTAATATGCAATGTAAATTCTTAATAACTACCGGATGCCACGTTTTTAGTCTAAATCCCAAGTTAATGCTTAAGTAACAATATTTTATTTCACAAGTAATAAAAACTCAAGGTTAGCAACTGCCTGAATTGTATGAACACTAGTTAAGTTGAAGTAAAATGTAAATATTATTTACTAGCTAGGTACTTAAATAAGTTTTTAAAAAAATTATTTAATTTCACATTTTTCTTCGATTAAATATATATTATAAACATTTGTTTTAAAAAAAAAATAGTTAAAAATTTAAATCCCGTTAAAAAGCTAATCCCGAGTTTAAAAAGCGTTAACTAAAACAAACAAAATCTACTTATATCATAAGTTTAAATAAATTAAGAAAAAAATTCAACTTAAACTAATTAATTTGTTAATGATCAGTCTTGTTAAACAATTAATTTTAATATTCTTTTTGCATTTTAAAATATTACTTTATCATAGAAGATAAAGTTCTTTAGAGTTTAGACAGTACTAAAATTAAATCGGTTAAAAATATTTTCATAATATTTTTAAACATTTAACACAAATCCCACTTCACCCACTTTACAAAACAGCTCGAAAAGATATTTAAAAGCATTTTCTAATGTCAAGACATTATTTATACGAAAAATGTCCCCCTGAACGCTGGACAATTCATTGGACAAAAAATAGTTTATTGTATATAAAATATAAATATATATATATTTATGTATATGTATATATGTATATCTACATACAGCTAAGTAATACGTTTGACTTAGTAACAGTTTTATCGATGCTCGAATTTTTTTTTGACGTTTGAGTATTTAAGTAATTAGAAATGTTTCATGAACGATTTTGCTGAATTATTTCAAAATGTTATATATGTTTATATAAATCCTATATTTAAATATTTATGTATATTAATATCATAATATTATACAGATCTTGCCAACAGATACATTTTAGCCTTTTGCTGAGCAAGTAAACTTAATATAACTTTTCGTAATACAATTCCCAAATAAAAATGAGTGATTATATTATTCTAAGTATACTTGACATTGTGATCCAGGGTCTAAAAAATGGAAATTCTGTGACGTCAGATTTTATAATAATGGTTTTTTTTAAATGGTATTCACAAACCAATACCGGTTTTTAGTAATTACAAGTTGAACGTGTGCCGTATTTGAGTATCAATAGTAGTAGTAGTAGTAGTAGGTCAGTCGAAACCAATAAGTGATCCATCTGTTCTCCCCCCCTGTCTTATACCAGTTGTTGCCCGAAAAAAGGCTAAGCTCACTCATAAATCATCATGGTATAATATATTGGGCTCTTATAATTTCTAACATACTATACTGTAATACGCCATTTATAAACCGTTTTATAATTTGCCTTGCAAAAAAAAAAAAACAACCATAATAATAATTTGTAATTCATATATTTACGGTACGTATAATGTATAATGTACAGGGTGTTTCTGGTTAGGTGTCTTGTTCTTTCTCTTTGGCCTCTTCTTTTAAAATTTTGAAATTGGCCATCTTAGTCCTAGCCTTTCACTTTACGGCTATCCGCTAGTATTCAAGGATGAGCAATATTTAAATAATACAACTAAATTATCTACTTACTAATTTGCATTTAATTTATCATTTAAACGTAATAAAATTCATTTGCTTAAAGTTGTTAAAAAACAACCCAATTCTAACTTTTAATCGAAAAACTTTATTTTTTATCAAATTAAGTGAGCTTGTAGCAATATTTTTATAATTGTAAAAAAAAATGAATTTTTTTTTTTTAAACAAAAAATCGTTAGTTAAAATTTTTTATTTCATGAGAAATAATTTTCATTCATAGGTATCCCGCATGGAGTACAACACTATACATTGCGCCATGATAACACATACACTTTATAATATGTATTTGGTTTCAACGTGCACGGACCGAACACAACGTCTACGATAAGGGTTAATCGCAGTAGGTACTCAAGAGGCTGATAAAAGCCCACAATTCCATTATCTATAGATAATAGGTTAAAAGTAAACAAAAGAAGTGTAAATAATATTTTACCAAGAAACAGCATTACTCCGAAATCCACTACACTTAATATTATGCAACATTGTGAAATCAAACGTTTATATTTTATACGGATATAACATGTGATAATTTTTTTTTTTGTATCACAATTTACTCTAATAAAGCGAGCGCCTCACAAAGATTACATTCATGGAGTTACAATACAAAAAGTTAATCATAATGCCTGTGTTAATACATTCATTCAATAATCATCTCTAATAACAGGGCTTAAAAGCTCGAACTTTTTTCAGTTATTTTAAATTAGGTAAAAGAGAGAAATGAGTACATTTAGAACATTTTACCTCCAATGTACCTTTAAGTTACGGCTAGTAATCAATTAATATTGTACGCGAGTAAATCAGTCTAAAAACATTATGTTTTATTGTAATATAAAAAGATTTACGTCAAAATATAAAAATAAAAAGGAGGAAATAATTTAATGTTGGTAGACAGCGTTAAATACATTACAATAGGTAAAATATGATAATATATTATGTCTAGTATGTGTTCTGATAATACTGTATTGTTATGAGTCATCACACGCGTTTTTATTTTTGTATGAATATTTTTGGTCTTTAGACACTAAAGTTAAACGTGGCTAATCATTTGTTTTAGGTTTAAACAGTACAAAAAAAGTATTACAAAATATAAACATAACGCACATATCTTAAGCAAAACTAGTAAGAGAAAGGAGGAAGAGTTAACCTTCTCCCAATTTATTGTTAAAATGACTCAGTTGGCCATTCAAGAAAAATATGACAAATTGTCAAAATAGATAAAGACAATAATTTTGAGTTTTTTAAGACTAGTTCGTTCGTGAGAAAACTATTTTTTTTCATTAATTTTAGTGCAAAAAAAAAAAAATGTTTTTTTCTTAATGCTATTTATTTAGTAGGCAATTATAGTAATACGTTCAAGTTAATGATCACAGCAGACGAGGCTTTTATTAATAAATATATATATATAAATAATAATACGTT